TAAGATCTGTAAGTGTGTGCTAAGATCTGTAAGTGTGCACTAAGATCTGCAAATGTTCACTAAGATCTGTAAGTGTGTGCTAAGATCTGTAAGTGTGCACTAAGATCTGCAAATGTGCACTAAGATTTGTAAATCTTGGTGCAGAGGGTTGCACACACACATAATTTTCCTACAACATTGCTCTCATAGAAAAGCCGTAACTTTTACATAGTTGAAAAGACGTTGAAAACCGTGTTTTTAGCATCTATTATTTAACTGAAGTCTGACAAAATGAGAAATCAAAAAGCCGAATTTCCAACAACTATTTCTGGACTAAATCCAGACGATGACAGACCAACCAGATGTAGCAAAAAATAACAATGTTTAGATGACGTCTGGTGTTTGGTGGGAAACCATCCCTAATAAATAACAAGAAAAACCTCTTCTCACCCAGACAATGGTTTCCGCAGCTGTGAAGCATCACTTAAAATGATGATGATAATAATTAAAGACACATTACTTTACTCCTGCAGGCATTAGTGTGTTTGTTTTATCCAGGGGGTCTCTGGGTAGTCTTTTTCAGTCCTGGAGGCAGGAACTTTTGCCCAAATCTCTCATTTTTAATCATAGATTAGCATTAGCTTCTCCTGACGATTTAGAGCCTCATTCCGATACCACCTGGACACAACGGCAGCATCATTCGCTGCAGCTAATTTAGCTAACATCTAACGTCTTCAATTCAGCCAATACAGACCAGGAACCTTCAGTGAAAATCTTTTATTTATTCCTGATTATTTTCCAATAAAAATATATACAATACAAAACAAGCAGTAAGGGTTTATAGACAGCTGTAAATGTCACGGTATAGATACAAAAAGCATTCGGGCATTTATTATGTTCACACAGCGAGCGGCGAGGAGTTCCTCAGGTCAGCTTCAGCTTCAGGCAGCAGAGACGGTTCCCAGGTCCATGCAGACGGATGGACGCCGGGTTTGGAGACATAATCCTCAGCTTCAGCCTGGATCCACCTTCACAGCAGCAAGTACCAATCTACATTAGAATGTAGATCTATACCGAAACTAATGTAGATTTACACTGGAATGTAGATCTATACTGGATCTAAACTAGATTTACACTGGAATGTAGATCTATACTGGATCTAAACTAGATATACACTGGAATATAGATCTGTACTGGATCTAAACTAGATCTACACTGGAATATAGATCTGTACTGGATGTAAACTAGAGCTACAGTGGAACATAAATCTTTTCTGGAACTAATCTAGATATATGTTGGATCTAAACTTGATTTATACTGGAACTAATCTAGATCTATACTGGATCAAATCTAGGTTTGTGTCAGATCTAATCTAGATCTATACTGGATCTAATCTAGATCAATAATGAATCTAATCTAGATCTATGTCGGAAACTAAACTTAATCTATAATGGAACTAATCTAGATCTATACTGGATCAAATATAGATTTGTGTCAGATCTAATCTAGATCTATACTGGATCTAATCTAGATATATAATGGATCTAATCAAGAGCTATGTTGGATCTAAACTTGATCCATACTGCATCAAATCTCGATCTCAGTCAGATCTAATCTGGATCTATACTCACTCTAATATAGATCTATGTCAGATCGAATCTATAC